CCCCACGCCAGGGAATCCGCCAGCTCCTCTGAGTGCTGTACCCGCTTCCATGTTGGCCCATCGCACCCGCCTGCCCGTCCCAGGTGTCTGTCCCTACAGCAGAATAGACCCTTGAGGGCCCTCAGCATCTCCAGCTCCCACATGGAGCCTGGCGCACAGTAGGTGCTTACTAGAGCTCCCACAAGAGCCTGGCACACAGTAGGTGCTTACTAGAGCTCCCACATGGAGCCTGGCACACAGTAGGTGCTTACTAGAGTCCCACATGGAGCCTGGCACACAGTAGGTGCTTACTAGAGTCCCACATGGAGCCTGGCACACAGTAGGTGCTTACTAGAGCTCCCACATGGAGCCTGGCGCACAGTAGGTGCTTACTAGAGTCCCACATGGAGCCTGGCACACAGTAGGTGCTTACTAGAGCTCCCACATACAGCCTGGTGCACAGTAGGTGCTTACTAGAGCTCCCACATGGAGCCTGGCACACAGTAGGTGCTTACTAGAGCTCCCACATGCAGCCTGGTGCACAGTAGGTGCTTACTAGAGCTCCCACATGGAGCCTGGCACACAGTAGGTACTTACTAGAGCTCCCACATGCAGCCTGGCGCACAGTAGGTGCTTACTAGAGCTCCCACATGGAGCCTGGCACACAGTAGGTGCTTACTAGAGCTCCCTCGAGAGCCTGGCACACAGTAGGTACTTACTAGAGCTCCCACATACAGCCTGGTGCACAGTAGGTGCTTACTAGAGCTCCCACATGGAGCCCGGCACACAGTAGGTGCTTACTAGAGAAGCCACGGGGACTGCACCTGCTTCCTTGTCTTCGCTGTGAACTTCAAGAGGGTAGCACAGGGCTCGTCACCCCCAGCTCGTGACCCAGCACCACTGGGCCAGCAGGGAGCTGCCTTGTCTGCTCAGTGGGGTGCTAGCTGCCTCCTGGGGGTCCAGGACACCGACTGAGCGGCTTTTAGCAGGGGGATGGCGCCCCTGGGCCACACCGCCTGTCGGTAGGAGGCTGACTGCCAGCAGGAAGTGTGCTGGGTGGAACAGTGTCCATGCAGAGCCTCAGGATGGGACCATGTTTGGACATATGGTCCCTGCAGGTGTAATTAGTTAAGATGAGGTCACACTGGATCAGGGTGGCCCTAAATGCAATGGCAGGTGTCCTGGAGAGAAGGCAGAGAGAGCACGACCACAGAGGCTGAAGTCAGAGAAACACCAAGGTGGCCGTGGCTGCCAGGAGCTGCAAGAGGTGGGGCGGGACCCTCCCCTGGAGCACGTCCCTGCCGGCGCCTTTCTGCCCTCCGGCACTGAAAGAATGACCCTGCTATTTCCACCCTCCCAGTTTGCGGTGATCTGTCATGGGATTCCTCAGAGACTCCTACAGCAACCTCCTTGCTGCTCCCTCGGCTCTGCCAGAGCCTTGCCCGCCTCCACGGCCAGGCGGGACCCCCGGGGGCGTACCTGCTCCGCACTTCTTAAACCCCTGGAGCAGGCTCAGCTTCTCGCTCAGCATCCTCCCAACCACCCTGGGCACGAAGAGCACGGGCCGCGGCCGCGCGGGCCGGTGGGGCTGCACCAGGCTGTAGGGCACCAGCGTGACGCAGCTCTCGGCCCAGAAGCACATGCCGGCGGGGGCTGCGGAGGAGAAGGGGGAGAGGCGCCGTGAGCAGCCGGCCCAGGCCCCACCGCCCCCGGGAGGGGCCGCCCTGCCCCACTCCCTGCGGCAGGCCGGGCACCCAGGCTGACCCATGGTGTGTGCTCGCTGTGACATTAACTACGAGCTCCTCAGCCGCTGGCAATTCAGTCCCCCAGGCAGGAGGGAGGGAGCCAGGGTTTCTTCCTGCCTCTACCCTCCTCCTTAGCCCGTCCCCCAGGGCACAGGTTCCCAACCATCCTTCTATCCTGGGCCATTGTCAAAAGCCCCTTTATACACCCAGGAAACTCCCACAAGACGACAAACTGAGCATGATTCGCTCAATCTGCGTCCACCCCTGCTTGTCCTCACGGTGCAGTGCTACCTGTCGGGGGTGGCCGTTCCCACCTCTGCCGTGACCTCCCGCACACGCTGTCACTCAGGGCCGTCCGGGGATCTACTGGTTTGTATAATGTTGGGCACTTGGGTAGTTTTCGAGATTTTACTATTCCAAAAAGACTGCTGTCAACACAGTTATACCAGGGCTTCTGGACTACTTTTTTGGGGGCAGATTACAGAAGGGAGGAGCATCGGTTTACAGGATGTTAAGGATGTGTAGCTCAAGTGTTCTTGGGAAGGACACAGGGACACCAATCGTGGTTCTTAAAAAACAGATCCTTAGCACTCTGGGAGGCCGAGGCGGGTGGATTGCTCGAGGTCAGCAGTTCGAAAACAGCCTAAGCAAGAGGGAGACCCCGTCTCTACTATAAGTAGAAAGAAATTAATTGGCCAACTAATATACAGAGAAAAAATTAGCCGGGCATGGTGGCGCATGCCTGTAGTCCCAGCTACCCAGGAGGTTGAGGCAGAAGGATCACTTGAGCCCAGGAGTTTGAGGTTGCTGTGAGCTAGGCTGACGCCAGGGCACTTACTCTAGCCTGGGCAACAGAGCGAGACTCTGAAAAAAAAAAAAAAAAAAAAATCCTGGCTGAAATGAGTGGCATCCCCCAACTAAAACTAAGAGACTGACCAGCAACCCCTTGCCTGCACACGTGGAGCCAGGCAGCCCTGTGCCCGCTGCCCCAGCCTCACCTTCCACCCTGCTGGGGGCCGACTGGCCCTGGTCAAAGGACGGATGCAGAGGGCTGGCCTGGGCCTTGTCCACGCTGACGATGCGGACCAGCTTCTGTGGGCCCCCAGAAGACTGCTGGGGACAGAAGGGGCAAGGAAGAGCTGAAGCCATCAACACGGGGCCTGGCCCCCCCCCAGCACCCCCACCCTGCCCTGGTGCCCTGCCCATGAGCAAATCCAGCGTGGTCCCTGGACTGCCAGACTGTGCCCTCGAGCAGCCAGGGTGCCCAGGGGTGAGAGGCAGGAGAGGGTCCTCATGCAGGCAGCCCCCAAGCAGGGGGGAGCAGGGGTCCCCCTGAGCCTCGCCCTGCTGTGATCCAGGGGAGACCTGTCCCAGCAGGTTGCCTGGGGACAGGTGGGTGCTCAGCAACCTGCAGAGTGTTCTGCGTCTGGAGAGCACAAGGGGGCCCGACCCAGAGGGCTGGGAATTTGGGGGGATGAGCAGCAGCAGCAGGTGGCCTGGGTGTGGGAGCAGAGAGGAGCAGTGTGCCCGGGAGCCTGCAGGAAGGTTTGGAGGGGCCCTGTGGGAGTTGGGCAGGCCATCCCTCTGGGATCGCAGCCCACACTCTTCACATGCCACGCCCCCCGCCAGCACCCACCCCTCTTGCAGGCCACCCAGGTGGGGCTCACCTTGCGGGTGGGGGCGCACTGCTGGGTCACGTCCTGGATGAGCGAGATGAGCCGCTGCTGAGCCCTGCACAGACGGAGGGACCCAAGGCGGGGTGGTCCCTCCGTTGTGCAGGTCAGCGCGGGCCCTCCGTCTGTGGCAGGCGCGCAAGCAGCAGAGAGAGGGGGCGGTTAGGCGCTCTCGAATCAGTCGTCAGAGACAGTAGAGAGCTCAGCAGTCACACCGTTGGTCCCACCTCACCACACAGGCCTGTCAGGATCACCTCGCCCGAGGGCCATGAGGCTACGCACACACTATCACACACGTCTTCACTGTGCCAGGGTCAGCAGCAGGGCGAGGGTTGGCTCACGCCTCATCTGCTCGCACGACGCGGCGCCCGAGCTCACAGCGCACCACCCGGCGCGCGCGCGCGGAGAGAGAGAGTTGGGCTCACGCCTCGTTGTAGCACAGGGCTCCAGAGCAGAGAGAGCGAGAGAGAGCCCAGTGGGTCCCGCTACCGTCTGTGACACCGGCGCATCCCGCACCACTCCCACACCACTGGGACTCCATCACGTTCTCGTCGCGGCAAGACGATGGCTACCCTCACCACCCCAGGCGCGGGCGGTGGGTCGCGCTCCGTCTGTGCAGGGGCTCAGGGGCAGCGGGGTGGGGTCCTCGTCTGTGCACCGGCTCACGCTGGCAGGCGGCGCCTGCGTCCTCGTCCTGTGCAGCCGGCTCAGCAGCCGGCGCCCCGCTGGCTCTCCGTCCTGTGCACGCGCGCTCCCGGCGCGCTGGGCTCTCGTCCCTGCTGCACCGCGGCTCAGGCAGCGGGGTGGGTCTCCGTCTGGCAGGGCCTCAGCAGCCGGGGTTTTCCGGTTCCCGCTTCCGTCTGTGCAGGGCTCAGCAGCTGGGTCGGTCCCTTCCGTCTGTGCAGGGCTCAGCAGCGGGGTGGGTCCCTCGTCTGTGGGGCACGGCTCAGGCAGCGGGGGTGGTCCTCCGCTCTGTGCGCACGGGCTCAGCAGCGGCCTCCATGCTCGCTCATCCAGGCGTGAGCCAGCGCAGCGTGCGCCCCCCCACCCGGGAAAGGTGAGCCCCACCTGGGTGGGGCTGCAAGAGGGTGGGGTGGCTGGGCGGGGGCCGTGGGATGTGGAGAGTGTGGGGCCTGCCCATCCCAGAGGGGTGCCTGCCCAACACTCCCCACAGGGCCCGCTCAAACTTCCTGCAGGCTCGGGCAGCCACTGCTCGCTCTCTGCTCCCACACAGCCAGCCCGCCACTGCTGCTCGCTGCTCCATCCCCCCAAATTTGCCCACAGCTCTGGGTCGGCGCCCCTTCCGTGCCTCCAGACACCAGAACCACTCTGGGCAGGTTGGCTCAGCAGCCCCACCTGTCCCCCAGCGCACCCACCCTGGCCGGACAGCTTCTCACGCCTGGATCACAGCAGGGAGGCTCGACCCCTCACTCCTCCCCCTGCTTGGGGCTGCCTGCATGAGGACAACACACCCTTCCTGGCCTCTCCCCTGGGCACGCCCTGGCTGCTCCCGAGGGGGCACAGTCTGGCATC